GGATAGCCTGTACTGCCCCAGGTCCAAGACCCCCAGAGTCTGGGTAGGCAATGACCACGTGGGCTGTTTATACAACCATGGCCAACCATGGCCGTGGGATCTGCCCAGCCAAACTTCTGGTGTCCCAGCTGTGCCCTTCTTCTATCAGTTCCCTACCCATGTCCCCTGAGGGAAGACAAAAGAGTAAACGGGCCCAACAAGGTGGTAGAAGGAGACTCTAGTTTTACTTGCACTTGAAAGGAAGACTTTGCCAACATTTCCTGGGAGAAAGGTCAAGATCCAGAAAAGCAAAAGACCCAGTTGCTTTCCTCTCGGACTGTATGGTCAGAGAGCTAAATCTGCCTCTTCTCTGCTACCAACTGGCATTTCTGGGAGCCCTTCAAGCAATCCAGAACCTTCTCTTGGGAGCAGGATGAGCACCTGGGGGGCATTTTGTGTGGGAGGTTGGATTGCCTGACCCCTGGGGCCCTACTGTTGAGGTCCAAAGTCTGATTCTGTACTACAACAAACTGGGTTAAGTGTGGTAAAGGTGTTTATCCTGATCATAACTCAGTTTCTCCTCTGAAAACAAGATTACCAACCAGATCCGCCTTTGAAGACGTGGCAAGATTCACAGATTCTGTGAGTTGCTAGAGTGTTTCTATGATCTTTCTGTCTTCCCTGAATATACCAAGAATGACCACAGGAGAGCCCACCCAAGAATGCATGCCTCAGACCTAAGCCCTTGTCAGTTTCCCCAGTTTGTGAAACGGGGACCCTAAGATGAGCCTTACTTGAAACATGTCTAGCAGAATACAAACTATTGTCACCCAGTACACTGGGGTGCAGCTCAGCAGTTTAGGGCGCACCTGGAATGTTTCGTATAGAGACTGCCTCACATGTGCAGGGCTCCCTATACCCAAAACCTTAAATATGAGGAAACTGCCAGCCAAAAGAAGGTGGCAGCTAGCGCTTTAAATATGTCTTGTCCTCCAAGGTAATGAACTGATGGACATAGCATTGTCACTGCCAGCTGCTCCTCCCTTCTGACTCTAATCATGTCCCAAGGCAGCTAGGCCAGTGCCAGGAGAGCCACTCAGTAGTCACCTCACTCTGGAGGGGAACCCAGGATCTTGCTAAACACACCAGAACTTGGAGGCTGCCTGTATACCACAGCTTGGGTAACCGAAACCCACAACAAAGCGGCTGGGTTCACATTTCCCTGGTTCATCCATACAAACAATTACACCCCGTGCAGGGCTTCAGAAAGGACCCCACAGGGAGCTACACAGAATTCTTTCCTAACGTTTGCCGAGCGGAGATAATGGCTGGGATTCCAGTGGCCATGACCTTGAGGGCAGAGGTCATTTACAGGTCGAGAAGGGCAAGGAGAGATGGCTCAGGCTACTGGGATATCACAGAACAGTCAGACCACCCCTGGGGGGTCTACTCTGGGCTTTGGATAACACGCGCTCTGAGACAACACTGACCTGAGCCAAAAATTAGACAAAAGTAAGGAAGCCTCCAAGAAAACAGACCAAGCAAAGAAACTGGAAAACGCAAAAAAAAATGATGACTGAGGGGTTTGCCTCACCTAAGTTCAAGCCTCAGAACTTACACAGAAAAGTCAGGCTCAGCGCCACACCCGTTATCCCAGCTCTGGTGAAAGAGGTAGGTGGATCCCTGGAGCTCTTTGGTCTAGCGTAATCAGTGATCTCCATGACAACAGGAGACACACAAACACACAACACACAAACAGGCTGATGACTCACACCCACAATCCTGACACTTGGGAGGCTGAGACATGAGGATCGCTACAAAGTTTGAGGACAACCTGAACTACCTTATGAGTCCCAGGCCAGCCTAGACTGTACAGTGAGATTCAGTTTCAACTCCCCTACCACTCACTCCCCCAAAGAGCAAAAAGCAAAGAGAATAAGCCAGGGAGTGGAGTAGCACTGGGGATTCGGGAAAATGAGAGTGAAAGAATTTTTCAAAACGTAGCACATAAATGTCCCCAAATAGAAAGATTCTGATGTTATGATTAAAGGTGCCCACTAGGTATACAGCCGGAGATGGGAAGAAAGAGAAGACATAATCCAAAGAGCATCAGTGTGAAACTGAAAACTCAGAAATCAAGGAAGTGTTAAAACTTCCAGAGAGGAAAAAGAAGATGCATACCACGAAAATCCCCTATGTGCAGGGAACAGAACGGGCATCGGGCCCGCACATCAGGAGACGGCAGAGCCACGCATTTACAAATGGCCGCTGTACTCGGGGTGTGGTGGTGGACACTTGTAATCCCAGAAGCCAGGAAGCTGAGGCAGAAAGATCTCGAGTTCTAGATCAGCCTGAGGTATATATCCCAAGACCCTGTGTGTGTGTGTGTGTGTGTGTGTGTGTGTGTGTGTGTGTGTAACACATGCACACTTCGAATAGGGAGATTCATTTACAGGCCATGTCGGTCAGTTCTGTGTCAGCCTGACACAAGCGAGAGTCATTTGGGAAGAGGAAACCTCAACCGAGGAAATTCATCCACAAGGCTGGACTGCAGGCGAGTCTGCAGTGCGTTTTCTTGGTTGATGTGGAGGGCCCAGCCCACTGTGAGTGCTACCATCCCTGGGACAGTGGTCCCAAATGCTATGAGGAAGGTAGATGGAGCAAGCCAGAAAGCAGCACCCCTCCATGGCCTCTGCATCAGCTCCTGCCTCCAGGATCCTGCCTTGAGTCCCTGCCCTGACTTTCCCTGGATGAAGGCCTGGAAGATCCCAGAGACTATGTGTTGATGCTACATAGGAGAGGCTCAGTCTGACAGCCACGTAACTAACGGTTCACTCTGGAGCGGGTAACCAAGGCACCCAGAAAAAGAATCTCCAGGAGGAACAAGGGACTAATAAGATATCAGCTAGGAGCAGTTGAAAAAAAAAAGAACAAAAAGCCAAAGCATTTCTTTGCAAATTTATATGGTGGCTCTACGAAACAATCTGTAAAATTTGAAGAATAACCTCATTTAAAATATTCAATCTGTATATACAAACTCATTTACATATTAGAAAAAGGAAAGGTGCACAATGAAGGAAACGTGGTGGTAATTATAACCCTTCAGCTCTTTGGAGAACAATCCACACTGTCAAACCAAACACACACATTCCATGGCTTTTGCTAAAGCATATGACTCACCCTGTGTGAGAAGCCTGGGGTGACAGGGAATGATGTGGAGCAGACTTTTCTTCTATAATGAAATAAATCTAGAATTCCTCAGTGATGACATCAAATGACAGCAATATAAGGCGGGCACATAGAGGCAGGTGGATCTCTGTGAGTCCCGGGCCAGCCTGGTCTACAAAGCGAGTTCTAAGACAGCTATGCTACACAGAAAAACCGTATTTCAAAAAAAATTTTTTTTAATTAAAAAGAATATGGGAGAACAAGTGATTAATACATACAAGGTCCTGAGTTGATCACCAACACACTAACACAACACACACACACACACACACACACTCCCTATTCTCCATCCCATAATAATTAACCCCTATAATTTAAGGACCATCTAGGATCTAACTCACCTTAATTTAACTGCTATGCTTTCTATTATTCTGTCTCACATACCTTTCTCCAAACTTCCCTGCTCCCTCCTTTCTTTTCTACTCAGACATTGCTAGGGAGGAAATGACCTTTCTTCTCTCTGCCTAGCAAATCCTGCCTACCCCAAATCCAGGTCCAAGCACCACCCTGCTTAGAGAACCAGCTATTTCTGCAATCATAGGGCAAAAAGCAGGCATCATCAAGGCAAGGTCTGGGGTCTCTAACACGGCGTTAGGGTGGGTGGAATAGGCTCCTAGGCAGGGCCCGAAAGCCACCTGAAATACTGTGTACGCCTTTGCCTTGTCTTTCCAGGACAAGGAACTTCCAGACCACCAAGAGGCTTGGGGGCATATCAGGCTGAGACCATAATGGGGCAGAGGTAGAAAGAAAGGTCCTGCAGGGCTATGGTGCAGCTCAGTGGTAGAACACTTGTCTACTGAGGCTGAGGTCCTGGGCTCCAACTCCAGTGCTGAAAAACTTAAAAACACGCAACTAAATAGCGGGAACACTATCCAGCACTGAAAACTAAGTAAATTAAAGGAAAGCACCAGGTTGTCCTCTGGCGTTAGCAGATGCCTGAGGAAGCAGGAAGAAGAGTCAGTCCCAGGTCCGGTGTCAGATACAGAAATAGTTCCATACCTCAAGTTTAGTCAGGTGCCTGAGGACTTCCTGCCCTTATTGGCCATTGGCCTGGTCTCCACCTATGTTCCTTCTGTGTTCTTTCCTAGGCCCTGGAAGAAAGCTGCAGCAGTTCTGTGCCTCTTGGTCTCAGAGGAGAGCGCTTGTGGACCGGCTCTAGGCACCCAGCACCCACCGTGGGCTGAGGGGAGTGGACAAGGTTAAGTCTGTGGACTAAACTGCTTGAGACAGACACAGGTATCTCCTGGTGGCTTGGGCTGCAGCAGGAGACATCCTTAGCTACATTCCTCTTTTCCCACAGCTGCCTAGCCCAATAAGATTCACAGATGGACACCAGAGAACCCCAGCTGGGGACCAGCATCAGGCCTGGAGCCAACAGTTCCATGTGGACTCTTCCTCTTGCCCCTTAGTGTCACCCCTCCATCTCTCCCCAGCACTATTGCCTCACTTCCTGACCAGGACCCTGCCAACAGCCACCATCAGAAAAGGACCCCTTGAGCTAGGGCGGGATTCAGGAAGGTTCCACCTTAGTATGCTGGAGGCTGTGATATCTATCTCCAGCCCAGAAAGAAATGGACCAAGGAAAGGAAGGCAGAAGGAGAAAGGCAGAAAGAAAGGAAACGAAACAAAGGTCTTCCACCTTTGCAGCTCCATGGCCTCACCACCACATTCTGGCACACATCTCCCACTATCGGTGGCTTCCTGTGTGAGCTCCTCTCCTCCCAGCCCACCTGCCTCCGACACAGCATCATGACCCCTCTTCCCAGCTTTCCTCACCATCTCAGGGCACTTACCCAGAACTTCACGAGGAAGAAGGCATTAGAGGGCCCCTGTTCAAATAGCTCCTTGAGGCCACCCTTCTTCTCTGGGAATTTGTCATAGATCTGGCGAATGTCCACGGCTTCGAGGTAGGGGTCACTGTAGCTTGGGCTTGACTGGCTGATGTGCACAAACAGGTGTTTGGTGTACTGTGGACAGAGGGACCAGTCTGAGAGTGATGCCAAAGGGTAGGGTAGAGAGACCACGCAGACTGCCTGCCTCGCTTATGATCTGGGGCAAATCTCTTTACCTCTCTGGGCCTCAGTTTACTCACTGGGAAAAGAGAGATAAGATAAGTCAGGGGTAACCTGCTGTCCTAGATAGCGTGGATTGCATACCAGAAATTCCTTAGCTTCCTGTGCGCCCTTCACAGCTAAGGAGTGGAGGGCAGGGGGAAGGGCAGGGTTAGGAGGAAAGGACACTAGAATAAGAGGAGAAATAGACGGGGGAGAAGCTGGAGGGAGCGGAAAGGGAGAAAGAAAGGCAGGAAGGCTTGAGGTCGGAGACCTACAGAAAGAACAGAGTGAAGAAGGGGGCAGGGCAGGCAAGAGGAAAGGAAAGGAAGGAGTCATCTGCTAAGCCCTGGAGGAAGAGGAGGAAGGAAGGTAAAAGAACCAGAGAGGTGGAAAGGGTAGATAGAAGGTGAGGCCTCAAGTCTACTATCAAGGCAGCGCCTCCAGTGCCAGAGCCATGTGGCACGGGGACAGAAGCTCCAGGATTTGAGGCCTTCTTTGAGGATAGGGCCTGTGGTATTGGTGACTTATTCTGGGACCCTGCAACAGTAGCAGAGCCTCTGAGATTAAGATGGCCTCTCTTGGGGTAAGAGAGCGGGACACGGGGAGACTTACTGTGTCGGGATCTTGCTGGCGCTCCAGGAAAGCGGAGAACTCCAACAACCAGAGCTTGGAGCTGGCCACACTGCGGCCTTGCCATGGGGGAGCTGGCGGTGCAGAGGGCGATGGGGTGGGTCCTGCAGGAGACTCAAAGCCTGCACGAATGGAGAGAGACACATGGAACCTGCCCCTACTTATCCTCCCTGCTCATATCCTCAGCGAGGACTGGACAAAGCCAGTGAACGTGTTCCCATGGCAGTGCGGACCCTGTGGCTGATCCAGCTCAGTGGTCCCAGGCTTCTCTGCACAGGCCCATGCTCAAGGCAGAGGGGCTCTCAACAGCCCATGTTGCCTGGAAAGCTGCCAGGGCAGGCTCTTCAGGACTCTTGCCCTAGGGCTGTTTCAAGTCCAGGCAGGAAGATAGCCAGCTGAATCAACTAGCACAATAATTCAGAGGCCCTGAGCGCAGGAAGTTCCCTGGAGGGCTCAAAATTGCCTCAAACCTATAGAATACCTTCTGCAACATAGGTTTCTAAGGCACAAACGCTGGCCTAGGCTAGCGCTGATGAAATGTGCCCCCAGCACTACAGAGACTTCTCGGTGCCCCTGAGGCTAATCGGAATGTGAGGCTCTATAATAAGAAGCTATATAGTAGCCTGGCAGTGGTGGTACGCCTTTAGTCCCAGCACTCAGGACGAAGAGGCAGGCAGATCTCTTTGAGTTCAAGGCCAGCCTGGTCTACAGAGCTTTGAGAGGGAGGGAGGGAGGGAGGGAGGGAGGGAGGGAGGGAGGGAGGGAAGTTCAAGTAGTAAGCCCTAAGTGAAGACAGGGAAAGGATCCCCCAATCTGGGAACCAACAGAGACTAGTGGGGGGAGGAGTGCTGGGAACCAGCTGAGTGCATCCTTGAAGCCACACTTCAAGGAAGAGCAGTTCTGAACTGCTGGTAGAAAACAAGGCCCTGGTGACAGGGATGGTGGTGAACAGGATGGATCCTGTTCCCAAGCCAGGAAAAGCCACTGGCTGAGTTAAGTGGGGCTAGGAAACAGTCAGCTTTGCTATATATATATATATATTTTTTTTTTCTGGGTAATACTGGGGATGGAACCCTGCCTGGAGCTAGTAAGTACTGTGAACAAACATTCCTGAAAAGAAGCTCTGTCTGGCTGGGGGGGATGGGTGGGGAAGGGGGAACAGAGATGACCAGGAACCTCCTGGAAGGAGTTTCTGTGTCTGCAGAGACTGAAAGACTGGTTGGAGTTTCAGAACTGTGGAGAGATCAGGAATTTAGAGGTTCAGAAGCTGGCTGCATCTTTTGGGGCTAGTTTTAGTCTTCTCGAACAGCCATCCCTTGCCCCACTCTGTAGCTAAACTAACACCTCATGACAATAAACAGAAGCCTCTCAGGAGCTATTGACTTAGCGGAACACCAGCGTCTACCATTCTAACAGCTAAGAGTGTCATCATATAGCATCTCAGACCTATAGAATAGCTCCCTACATCTTGCTGTACCTTTCTGGTGTACCCACCAGTGTCTTGATTTATGTCTTTTTCTTTGTTCAGTAAAACTATAAAATACCTTGTGAAACCATTTCCACATTGGAATATGAAATTTGGGGTAACCTAAATCTATATCCCCAGGCCATGGTCTCTCAGAATGGATGCAGAATAAACTATCCCTTATTCCCTTTAAGATGAGAGCTGTGGTTTTGGACACTGAGCTGGGCAGCTTTTCAATCCTTCTTGATTGCAGAAGAAGGGTGGGACAGAGGGGGACACAGTAAAGGCAAGGTCTTCACAACCCAGGGTTTCCTTCTGGAAGCCTGGTGGCCTCTAGGACCCTGAGGAAAAGCAGTGGACTCAGCACAGGGGGGAAAAAAGGAAGAGGAGACCAGGAATACAGCAGCCCATGCTTAGGGCATCTGACAAATCCTTTCCTTCCTTCTTGCAGCCCCAGGGGACCCAGGAACTGCCATGTGCACAATGCAGGGACCCACAAGGATATAGCTATAGCTGTGGGACACAAACAAAAATGGCAATGAAGAATGCCCCTGCTAGAGAGAGGTCTGCAGAACCCTGCGCTGGAAAACAGTGGACACTAACTGTTGTGGATATTAGCATGTTTTTAGTTTGGTCCCAGGTGTGGGATGTGGGACTGATTCAGATGGTCCACAGCAGCAGACTGTTTGCCTCACAAGGACTCTGAGAAGAGCTCTTTGCCAACTGTAGATAGTTTAAATCTGAGGACTCTGAGAGCGAATAAATGCCAGAACCCAGAGAGGGTGGAGGAGCTCCAAGAAAGAACGAGGCTCCCCCTGCCTTCCCCTGCCTTCCCCTTGATGCTCCTGGTTGCTGTTGTTGAGACAAGAAGCTGGAGATCTCTTGAAATGAGGATTGGACTGACTCTAAGGAAACCGACAACCCTAACCAACAGGAAGCAGCTAAGAGAACTGCGTGCCCTCTCCCACTAACCCTTTCTCTCTCCTACCTGGTACTGGGGTGATGGAAGGGATTGGGGTGGAGTAGGGAGAAATAGATAAAAGAAACGTAAATAAAAGAGTTTTAAAAACAAATGCCTCCACCTGACCTGGGTAGGGAGAGGTGAGAGGAACCGTGGCCTGGAAGGAGCAGTCCAGCCACAGCCCAGAGGCAGAGCAGGAAGCACAGCGGACAAGCCCTGGGAACAAAGTTAACTGGGTCTCAGGAGTCCTGCAGGTCTACTGCAGAACTCGGATCTCACCATTAAAGCGTCATCAGGCCAGAAGCATTTTAAACCTGGTGAGAGAGATGCTTTGAGAATCACAGGGAGCCAGTGAAGAGGCCACTGCAGTAATCCAGGCAAGAATGAAATGGATCTGAGTACAGACTGCATCAGCATGGACAGAGGGAAGAGAACAGAAAAGAGGACAGGACTTGAGGACTGGACCCAACTCAGTGCTGTTCTGTATAAGGGTGAAAGAGGCAGTAAGCAGGCACCAGGTGTGGCAGGAAAGCCTAAGCAGCCACGGCTAGAAGGTCACAGCTGGTCACTCTCCAGCTGAAAGGAAGGTGGAAAAGCCTTGGAAAGGGTTTTCCCTTTGGGAAAGGAAGGAAAGGGCTGAAGAAGCCTCCTGAGAGAAGGTCAGAGCTGAAGCCTGGGGGAGGTAAGCTGCTTAGGTCACACTGCACAGGAGCGCCCTCCAGGCAACAGGGTGCCCTGTGCTAGGGAAAGGTTAGGCTTGGAAACCAGTGCCCCTCAGCTCTCAACTGAGAGGAAGTAGGCAGTACTCTAAGGGGAAAGCCTGAAGAGCCAACACAAGTATCCTACAAGAGAGGCCTGGGGACATATACACTTTCTTCCAATTCTATGTCCCGGATAGCCCTGAGCACAACCAGCAAGAAGTACAGCATTTGGTGCCACCCCAGAATGCCATGGCACCCATGAGGCATGGCTTTAGCATGCTGACTCGAGGCAAAAAAAAAAAAAAAAAAGTGATATAGCCAGAAAATTGGGATGTCTGATCCAAACGCACAGCAGTGTGACCTCTGACAGTGATGAAAGCAGGACCCACAGGGTGTGACACATAAAGGGATGAAGCATCACCCACCTACCTGGCAGAGGCAGCTGAGGCTGGACAGTGTAGGTGTTTTGAGAGAAAGGCTTCACACTGCAGGAGAAAGGAGAAAGGAAGCAGGCATCATTGGGATGAGCTGCAAGGCATCCCTGGTTGCTTGGCCACTGGTGGCCTTAGCAGGTATTGGTTTCCAGAACCCTAACCCTGCCAATTGCCTCGGGTTTTGTGTTTGAGTTATAGGAGCAGTATATCCGTTGAGGCAATCCGCCTCACATCCTCTCTTTGGCCAATCACAGTCTCTTTGGGTATCAAGCCACTGAGCACTTCGGTAAATGGAACACCAGGTGTGGACACTGCAGACTAAGTAAGTGATTTCTGGGAGCAAAGCCTTATTCCCAAGGCCAAAACTATTCTAGAAAGGCCCGTCCCATATGGCAGCCCTTCTTCCCTTGCCCCACCTCCCCTAGCCAGGCTCCGTTTCCCTAAGACTCTGGGTTCAAATTCAGCTCAGGGAGTGAGGGGTGGGAAACCAAACCATACTCACTCGTGGGATGTTCCAGGTTGGCCTGGCAAAGCTCCTTGCCAAAACTGTGGAGGTAAAAGGTACAGACTCAGCATGGCTGTGTTGTGCACGGGGCCAGAGCCCACGGGAGCGTGTGAAGAGTCTGTAAGGGAGAAGCCATGCAGGCCTCCGGGTGGAAAGAAGAGGAAGAAAGCCAGCTCCAGCATTGGGAGGAAGACAAGCCAATGGCTCTAACAGGCAGCAGCCACACCTAGGAGTCTTTCTCTGTGCCCCACAGGAAAAGCCAGGCTTGCTAACCATGTACTTTCTCCCTCCCGTCAAGACTCACACAGGGCTCTTTAGCATGGAAGGCTCTTAGGTCCTAAAGCCAAGAAATCGATTCAGGGGCTCAGTGGTAGAGCATGTGCTTAGCTTTTCGTATGGTACATGGCTCTCATCTCGAACACCAAAATGATTTAAATCCAAGTGTCTACACGATCATTTTATGTCCCATCTATTTAACGTCCCAGCTAACACTCTCTGAGACTCCCTGTGAAATATGATGGCGGAAAGGCCTGTGGAACTCAAGACGTGTCCCTTCCCCAGATTGTGAAGACAGTGCAAGTGAGATACCTTTAAAAAAAAAAAAAAAGCCAGACAAGCTTGAGAAGGAGGAGCATTTCTGGAACAGTCTATAAGTGTGGCGATGTCGACATGGCTGAGAGCCTGGTCATTAGGCTGACAAAGTTAAAATCTGAGCACAGGTTTTTCTCTATCCGTCAGCTCTTTTACATGGAATGGGCCCTATTGGGGTGCTGAGCAGGAGGAGCAGGGACACGGATGAATGGAATGGTGGCTATTTGAGGACACAGTGGTGCTACGTCAAAGCCTCAGGATGCAGCTCCAGTCCTTGGACCTCTGCTTCCTCAACTATAAATGAAGCCAGTTCTCATCTGGTCAGCTAATGAGAGCAGCCTCTTGCCTCTCTCTAAAGGCCTGTACTGTTAATCGCTAAGGACTTCAAATGGTGCCTCTACCACCACCGAAGCCATGTTTTAGAGTGGGCCGTGGGGGGACCAGGGCTCAGGAGAGAGGAATCAAGCCTGGCCCCTGTTCCCACCTCTGCAGAAGAGGAAGTATGAGGAAAGCTGTGCTGGCCTCTTGCTCTGGGCTGCCCCCACTTACCCCTGGGATTGCTGGGTAGCCAGGGGCCCGGGTAAGGGCCATTTTACTGTGGAAGGCTGTGGGCGAGACGATCTGGGCGGATGACATGGCAGCCATGCTCTGCAGGGCCTTGTTCTTAGCTGCCTGGTCCTGGGGAGACATAGGAAGGGAGGCACCTGAGCGGGGCCACCAGCCAGGTTCAGGGGAGGCATGATCTGGCCTTCGGGTCAGAAAAGCTGTCCAGTGCCAGCAGCCAGAGCTGGGGACCAGGTTTAAGTTTGTGGAGTACTAACGTGTTGGTGAGTGAGCTGGTGGCTTCTCTTATCAGTTTCATCGTCTGTTTGGGAAGCATAAACCTTACTGAGAACTATGCCAGGCTGCCTACCTGATCTCCTCCCCACAACACCACCTCCCTCCCTCTCCTGTCTCTTTCTAGTCCTGGGGACTGAACCCTAAGCATGCTAAGAATGCGCTCTACCATTGAACCTGCAGCCCCAGGCACAATCCTTATAAAACGAAGACACTAGTGAATCAGTATTTCACAGTGAATGAAAATTTGGTAGAGCCAAGTCTACCCTGAGTGGGATAAGAGTTGAAACCGGCAGATATCTCTGTAGCTTAAAAGTCTGCAGGAAAACCTCCCTCAGTCCATACAGCAACACAGAGGCAGGATGCAGTACAGCCTGGGGCCCCAGGTGTGTCACCCAGAAGCCAGGGAGCAATCTGGAAATAGGTGTGGCCTGGGACAGCATACAGAGGATCTTGAGAAATGCTTAATGCACCTTGACCCCTGGGAGGGCGAAGGATCAGGAGGATCTTCCAAGGAGGAAAAACTGAAGCTCGGAGAATTTAGGTGGAGAAGACCTTAAGAGTCCATGCTTTGCTTGAAAGCGTTCCCTTAAAGTCATAGGCTGCCAGTTATTTAGACCTTTGGAAGGTAATTTATCAAAGTCACAAGGGTGAGTCCCCACGATGGCATCGCTGGTCTACAAGACAAGGAAGAATGCCTGGTGCCCTTCTCCGTGTTCTAATTCAGGAAGAAGGCGTCATGGATGCTGAATAGATCCTGCAGCCATGTTCTCAGATTGTGAGCCATGTAGGCAGCTCTCCTTTCCTTTTTAATTCGTTACTTATCCTATGTGTATGAATGCTTTGCCTGCATGTGTGTGTGTACATGCCTGGCGCCTGCAGAAGCCAGAAGAGGGTGTCAGATCCCCTGGAATTAAGAGTTACAGAGTTGTGAGCTACCGCATAGGTGCTGGAAACTGAACGAAGGTCCCCTGCAAGAGCAGCCAGTGCTTTAACCACGGATATAACTCTCCGGTCCTATAATCTTTAAGCCTTGCTCTCTCTTCTTTTTCTCTCTCTGCTAATGTTTGAGCCTAGTGCCCTGCACATGCCAGCAAGCACTCTACCACTGCAGTAGCTCTAGCCACAGACCCTATACATTTTCTTCATGATGCTGAGGCTTGAACTCGGGGCCTCACACATACTATAGAAGCACTCTGCCTTTGAACTATACCATCACCCCCTTCTGTTTGAAAATTTAAGAGGCACACGCCTGTAATCCCAACACTCAGGGAAGCAGAGGCATCAGATCTCTTCTGTGAGTTCCAGGCCAGCCTGATCTACAAAGTGAATTGAGGAAAGCCAAGGTTATACAGAGAAACCCTGTCTCGAAAAAACCACACACACACATACACACACACACACACACACACAGTAGCCATGCTGGTCTTGAACGTGAGTTCTCCTGCTTCAGCCTCCCAGGTACTATCATGCCCAGTCTCCATCTCTTTAAAGACAGAGTCTGCTACATTGTCCAGGCAGCTCATTCAAATGCCTAGGTTTGAGTGATCTTTCCGCCTCAGCCTCCTGATAAGACGACAGGCACATACATTCATACCCAGCTTTATGCTTTGTAATTACCCAGTCTGAGGAATTCTTTTATTGTCACAGAAAAATGGCTAAGACATTGCAGGCCAGCACAGAGAGGGCCATGCCAGCCAAAGGGAAACGTGTTAGGATGTGGCAGAAGTCAGCACTCACTATGGAGCACATGGAAGCCATACTGTGTGCGGGGCTTATTCCCCACCTAGAGCAGTGAAGTGGGTAAGATTTGTTGCTGGCACCCTCGCCCGCTGTCCTTCTTTGGCGAAACTTGGGTCTTGCTCTTAAAGGCCATCTGATAACTTTTCTCATGCACTTCCGTGAGGAAGAGACATTCTAGGCCAGCCCTCCCAGGCCTCTCCCTGAGGTGACTTGACAGGCCTTATCCTTAAGGCTGCTGAGATTAACAAACCCAGAGAGCTCCATCCGTTCCATGCCAGCAACATGTGCCCCTTCCTGTATCCTTAATCTAAACAAATGGCAGGTCTCAGGAAACCACATCCTCACTGTATGAGGCAGGAAGCAGGAGGAAGTGGAAAGGACGTTGTTAGGATGACATCAATGGCCAGACAGTGGAGCCAGGAGTCATGCACCTCCCAGCTGAAGGGGACATCACTTTGCCACATCACCCTGTCATTCTGTAGATGAGGATACTGAATTGCACTCATGGAGGATTCAGGGCATGGCTGTGAGACAAAGACGGAGTAGAACGGAGTCCAGGGATTTTTACCCACCCTCCTGACCACTGTGGTCTCAGGAGCCTTGAAAAAAAGGACAAAGTCCTTAGGCCAGCCTCTGGGAAGATATAGATACTGATGACGTGGGTGTTTTGAGAGGTTTGTGGCTCCTCTTGATGCTTGAGGCCCACTAACTGTTTCCCTAGAGTCTCAAGTTAGAAGCAGATGCATGAACGGCTGGGAGAGAGGTCCCAAGGAACTGAACATTCCCTTAGACATTCTAACCGTAACACAGCTATTCTGTCCTCTGCTGTCACCTGGGACCCACGTGTGTCAGAGGCAGATCAGAGAGGGGACATGGAGAAGAAGCAAGGCTTTAGGGCTGGGGTGTTTCAGGGAGGGATCCACAGCTGCAGGCAGGACAGCTGTCCTGGGGACAAAGGATGGAGGTGCTGAGGAGCAGCTATGGGGTGTGGAGGACAGCTGGGCTGAGGACAGGAAGTGTGAGGACAAGGGACATGGCTCCTCAGGGGGCAGAGAACTCTGTGGATGTACTGACTGAATCTGGATCCGTGTCAGACAAGAGGTGATGGGCAAGGCGGGTGGTGGTGGCTCATGCCTTTGATCCCAGCACTAGGGAGGCAGAGGCAGGTGGATCTCTGTGAGTTCAAGGCCAGCCTGGTCTATAGAGTGAGTTCTAGGACAGCCAAGGTTACAAAGAGAAATCCTGTCTGGAAAAACCAAAACTCTCCCCGATGGGGAGCTTACTCCCTCCTAGTACTCAACAAAAGGCCCTGGGTTCAGAGTCCTGGAAGGCCCCGTCAGCAACTGACCTTATGCTGAGGAGGATGTGGGGGGATGGAGCTGCCCATTTCAGAGAACACAGAGGGGACAGAAATGCCAAGCCTGGGCCCTTCTACACTGAAATCCCAGGTAGGGCCCAGCAGGAGACCACCATCCATCCACATGACTCTACAGAGATGCCACAGGCTAGGCCCCAACTGTCCCTAATGGCAAGACGCACATACGCTCAACACAGTGGGAGCCCCTGAACCCATGGGGCTGACTTTCCCAACTGGAAAAGGAGCGGCTGCAACTTCCGGGACGCCCCACTTCACACCCAGGCCCAGGGTTCTTTCTTTCTGTGTGCTGGCAGTTTCTCTTACCTTGAGCTTGGCCTGGATCTCCCGGGCTTTTCGACGGGCAAGCACCTGGATGTGGCTGGAGACCTGGTTGCAGAAAGAGAGCGTTCCTGTCCCCACCTCCCAGACGGCCTCTGCTTCCCAACCCTTAGCTCTCCGTGGTCATGCATGGACTGTGTGAGGAGTGGGTCAGTGTGGCGTGCTCACTCTCGCCTGCCCCAGTTTACCTTCGGTCTGGCAGTACTGCACAAGAAGGGTGTCGGTGATTTTGTGGTTTTTTTTTCCCCCTCCCGGTACCCTGGAGAGGGAGGTTGACTCTCTCTAGTAAAGGGAAGGACCCAGAGAAGTGGGCGCCGCCCCCACCCCTTTCGGGAGACCATTCTGGACTCACCTGCTTCCTCGTCCTCGTCTTCCCCGTCCGGAGCTTGATGTAGCGTGCGATCAGCTCGTTCCGGCCTGCAGGAAAAAAAAAAAACACCACCTCTCAGTGAGGAGAGCTTCAGGGTGGCCTCCTCACCCTGCCCACCTTGGGCGAGGACTGAGATTAAGGACTCTGTAAATTCCCTCCTGCCCTCTGTGGAGTGCAGATATCCCAGGAGCGAGAGGAGGCTGCATCCTCACTGGACAGACTGACAGCTTGACCACAGCAGAACCAGGACACATGGGCCGGGGCCACTCTGCCTGAGCTCCTCATTCCACAATGGCTGCTTCAATACCTTGGCCCCTCAACACCAGGGCTTTCTGTGTGAGAAGTACCTGGCCTTTGCCTAGGAGACTCTGCTAGGAGTTTCTGCTGCCTCTGGAAATGAGGACGAACTTAAAGATGGTTGGTGGGCAAAACCGGGCATGGGAGGCATGGTGCTGGGCTTTTAATAGTTGCTGAGGAGGAGGTCTGCCTCTTCATACAGAAAGAGCAGCCGGGAGAAATAGCTCAGTGGTAGCAGATTTGTATCAGGCAAATGGCCTCCATTCCCAATCTAGCCTCACCGAAAGCCAACACCAAAACTTCTCTAACCCAAGGCTCTGCCTCAGGCCAGGCAGCAGTCTTCACCTGACACTCAAAGAGCCACCACCTGGAGGCCATACTGTGCCCCCAGAGCCAGCCACATCCTCTATCCCTATAAATGAGATCAAAGAAAATTTATTGGATTTATTATTACCATTATTAATTAGTATTGAGGCAGGATCTCGTGCAGCCTAGGCCGACTCTGAACCCATTAAGTAGCTGAGAATGACTCTGAACTCCTGATCCACTTGCTTTCATATCCCAGGCGCTGGAATGGTGGGCATGTGCCAACAAGCCAGGTTGTTTTTTATGCAGTACTGGAAATCAAGCCTGGCATTGTGCATGCTGGGCAAGCACTCCCCACCTACGCCACCTCCCCAGCCCATTTCTGTAGTTCTTCTTTTAATGTACGTATGTATTTGCTTTTTGAGAAATGGTATTGCTATCTAGCCCTGGCTGGCTTCAAACATGTGTCCATCCTTGATCCTCCCCTCTGTCTGCTGAACAGAACTCGGTACCTAGGATAGGGGGGTACATATCCACACAATGGAGCAGATGGGCCTCAGATGCTGGCTTGGATTACAGTAGAGAACAAAGAGCATTGGAGGAGGAAGAAGGAAGGCTGAAGTACTGGAAGCCATCGCCTCCTTGTTCTACATCTAGGCCAGAGGGCATAGCGGAGGCCTGCTCTGTCAGCTGAGGCTGGAGCGACCATGTGAGGAAGCTGCTGTTGCAGGGGCAGGTGAGGCGACCCGGCCGCCTGCCACCTGGGCTGTAACTAGAGAGCTTGGCCAGAGTCAGGCTGGCCTCCAACCTGACCTTTCCCCAGGGCCAAGTCCAAATTAAGAGTCCTCAACTGCCAGAAAGACGTGCTGGCCTAAGAACACTGGCTTGTCTCTGTCCCAAGGAGGAAGGAAGGAGTAGAGAACCAGGCTCCAGGGCACACTGCACCTAAAAATTTGAGTCCTGAAAGACGTCTCCTCTCAAAGCCCTCCAGGGAAACGTATTCCATAGGTGCTTTTGGCAATCCAACAAACATCCAGCAGTTCTACTCTGTGTCTACCTAAAGGCGATAGTGCTGCGGCTATGAAATATGAGGCCTAAGCCATCGGTGCTGGATACAGAAAAAGGACAACAGAACTGGAGTTTAAGGAGTTGGGCTTGAACCTGGAGTTCCACCAAGGAGCTTGGGACCACAGAAAGTCCATGGACTTCCACTCAGCCTGCTAATCTAGCTCGATCTAGTTCTTCTAAAGTCTTTCTTCTGTATTTGACCACACACATTTTTGCTGACTCAGGATGCTAAGTTTAATGCTGGCTCAGTGAGAACGCTGTCCAGACATGGCAGCCCATACCTATCATCCTAGCACTTAGAAGCCGGGGGGGGGGGGGGGGGGGGGGGGGGGG